CTCTCTCTCTCTCCTTTCTGATCATCATGTGAGTTGTTTCCCTTCCCCACACTCTTCCACCATGATGTTCAGCCTCACTTCAAGCCCCAAGGAATGGATCCAGCTGTCTATGAACTAAAGCTTCTGAAACCATGAGCCCCTAAATAAACCTTTCCTCCTTTACAGTTGTTCTGGTCAGGTCTTTTAGTCACAGCAGTGAAAAAGCTGACTAATACAACCTGGTAGGACCTGGTGCTCCTCCAGAGTTTTCCAGGGCCTATCCTTCAAGCACGCAATGAGCTGTAGGCTCATCATGTGTCCAGTTAAGACCAAAAGTAGCCTCACCTGCCTTCCTGCTAACTGACAGCTAGAAACAACCAACTATGCAGAAAAGGGGACCTAGTTTTCCTGCCAAAATGTGGATGATGTTCACAGTAGGAGCATCATGGATAAAGGGGAGATTGAAGATTATAATACTCTTTTCCACTGAGTCCACCAAAGTCTTTGAAACTCAAGGGTCATTATCTACATGTAACACATTATATAAGCTCTTGACACATACTAAGGATTCTCAGCACTTATTCAGCCATGATCTATTGGTTTTTCTGCCAAAAAAATAGATGAAAAATGAGGTCACTGGCAGCACCCCAGATCCAGTAGCATATCTCATAGGTAAAATAGGGCAGGGAGCTCTCATAACAAAACCACTCCACAAGTCCTCTAATTGGTGCCAATAAACTTACCATTTTTAAGAAACTCATGTCTCTATCAAACCTACTGCACATTAGGAAGGCTATTTCATTTTTATTGCACTTTCTGGAATGATTTCTAAAACTTCCATTATTTCAGCAGAGATTTTAAATGCACTAATTGGTACATTCTGAAAGAGCTATTAACGAAGCTGAAAGCACTAGTGAAGGCTGGGCAGTGGCATTAATCTATCCATCTCGGGAAACATTTTGCAAGGTCAATAGGAGAAAAGACCTCTCTTTTGGGTTGTCCTGAGGGGATAGGCACATTTGCCTCTGGTTTTTGGAACATGATAATGATGGATTCGGTGGCATGATTCAACATCGGAGAGGATCTGGGTATTGTGTTTGCAATCACAGTGGACCTTAATTTGATTCCAGGATAAATGCAAAAGAGAAATGGGAGTCTCAAAGTCAGAAAGAGGCAAAGAGAAAGACCCACTAAGACAACTCTTGGGCAAATTGCACCTGCCCACTGCAATTCTTTTTCCAATTCCATCATCCACCGTTGCTCACTCACTCATTTGCTCTCTCTCCATTCTCCATAGGAATCTTACATTATCACCTATTCTGTTTAACGGACAGATTTCCCTCAGAAAACTTTACCCTGATGAGGTCCACCAATATCTAAGAATTCACCATAAGAGAATGAATTTTTTTTCCCATTCAATGCCTGTTCCTATCTGTTTTCTGTTTAAATGTGAAAACTCTACAGGTTGGCTCAATAGAGTTAAAAAAAAAAGAAATTCCTCTTACAGGTATAAGCCTGCAGGCAAAAATCCAAAGGTCAAATACTAAAAATGGGAAGAGTGGTCATGTATTTGGTTGAGTTGTGGTGGTTAGTTTATCCTCCAATATATTTTCCAAAGCGTCTATGGACTAGATATGAATTAGTTTCTTAGGGTTGCCATTAAAAAGTGCCACAAACTAAGTGGACCTAAGACAATAAAACCTTATTATCTCACAGTTCCAGAGATTAGAAGTTTGAAATCAAAGTGTCAGCAAGACCATGCTATCTCCAAAGGCTCAAGGAGGATATCCTTCCTTGCCTCCTCCAGCTTCAGTCAATCAACACTCATCCCTGACATTCCTTGGCTTGTAGATGCTTCACTCCAACTTCTGACCCTGTAACTACACAGCATTCTCTCTTTAAGTGTCTTCTCCATTCTTGCAAAAATAGCAGTAATGTGGAATCAAAGGCCCACATACTCCAGTATAACTTCATTTAAACAAATGACCCTATTTCCAAATGAGGTCCCATTCTGTGTTATGGAGGGTTAGTATTTCAATGTATCTTTCTGGGAACACAATTCAACTCATAACAAGGTACTTTCAGGAAAGAGATATTCTTTCCCTGCTCTTGGGACAGGAGAGTCGATCTTTAAAGAAATCTTTCTATAAAGAGTTGGCTGCCCATCCTCACAGCCTTTCCTCCCTCCTTCTGGAGAAGGAAGCAGAGAAAAGAACCTGCAGGTGAAGATGGGAGCAGCAAAATTCCCCAAGATGAACCATCCCTAGGCCCTATTTTCCCTCTGACTTGTCCTTGTGCCAGGGGACATGCTTCAGCAGAACTGAATTTCTCGGGATGGCAATTTGGAAACAGCACTCTGAGTGTTCCACATTCCACATTTCACCAAGGTCAAAACTTGAGAAGCATAAACAAATGCAACCAGCTATAACTGAGGTTTTACCCCAAGTGCAAGACTGGTGCAAAGCAGAGAATGACTCCACTTTAAGTAGGAATTGGGAAAAAGACTAAGAGGGTTTCATGGCAACAGTTCCCAGCTGGGTGCAGAAGGTGTGAGGAGGAGTATGTCAGTCTGATTCAGAGGAGGAGATGAAAAAGCAAAGGTGTCCAGGAATCTATCCTTGTATTTTGCAGTTCTCTGAAAACTTTTCTTCCCTTAGTCCATGCGGAATTACAACATCCAGAGTCTCTTCCTGCTTCCTTGTCCAACTCACTGGTCCCACATCCTTGACCAGAGGTCTGTCCCAGGGCTTAATCCTTGGCTCTCAGCTCTTGGCCATCAGAAAATTTGTTCTTTCACTGACTTTGAACCACAGCCCCTGCGCAAAAACATTCTGAGGTCTGACTCCCAACCTGTACTTTTCCCAGTCTCATTTTTGTATCATCATGCTGTCTAAAAGGCATAGTTACTAGTACTTTTTTCTTTTTTATTTGTTCTTTTTAGTTATACATGGCAGTACATGTATCTTGACATATATGGAGAATAACCTCCCATTCTTGTGACTGAATATGATGTGGAGTTACACTGGTCGTATATTCATATTTGAGCATAGAAAATTTATGTCCCATTCATTCTACTGTCTTTCCTATTCCCAACCCCCACCCTTCCCTTCATTCCCCTTTGTCTAATCCAATGGACTTCTATTCTTCCCTCCTCCCTGCATTACGTCAGCATCAGAAAGAACATTCAACCTTTGCTTTTTTTAGGACTGACTTATTTCACTTAGCATGGTAGTCTCCAGCTCCATCCATTTACCAGAAAATGCCATAATTTCATACTTCTTTATAGTTAACATCCTCCCTTCCTCACTCATTCCAAAGTCAACTTTCCTTCCCAACTTGCCTTTTATCAGGCTCTCCTATCTGACACTAATTTAGGTTTGACAACTTTACCATTTGGAGCTGACTTCTTTCTTTGAGCCCTTATATTTAATCAAGCAGCATTGCCTGATAATTCTTTCCTTTGAAATTGTCACCCTTTCTCTGTTATTTCCAAGGTTTGATCCAAATGTAAATTTCTATGTTTATATTACTGTAGTGGTTCTCTGATCACCCCCATCAGCATTACCTGGGAACTTGCTATGAATGAGGGTTCCCAGGCCTCACCACAGACCTACCAATTCATCAGAAGCCTCACCACCTGCATTTTAGCAACCTATCCAGTTGAAGTTGAGGTACACAAGTTTGAGAACCAGTGCATTAGTGCAGCATCTCCTGTGATGCCACCACAGTCTATCCTAACTATGGCTACTCAATTCGTTTACTTACATCCTTGATTACTGCTAGGTCTCTACTCCAGAACTATCAGCACCTGTCAACTCCCTGGCTCATGAATGTTAAATTCCTCCACCTAGCTTTCAAAGCCTCATTATATGGTTCCATCTCTCCAAATTTGTCTTCACTAGACTCCCTAAAACATTCTGCATTCTAGCTCTCACAACATGTTCACTTTCTAAGCAACACACCTTTGAGTATAACACTTGCCCACTTCCACCCACTCCTCCTGCTACAACCAGCATTGGATTAGGACCTTTAGAAACTTTGAACAGTGAAAAGTGACTAGTTCCTCTTTCCCACGTGGAAATGAAAATAAACATATTACTTAGCTGTAAAATAACTGTGTACAAGTCAACCAAATTACTGATTCTTTCCCATAGTTATTAGTTTGCTGCTTAAAACATATATTTAACAAATTCTTTTTAAAATGGTGATTTTGGGTGCCACACTGCTTCCCTAACACTTCAGATCTGTGCTCAATGTATCCACTGGCTAATTCAGTTTTGCCTTTGTGGATGAAAAGACTACTCACCATTGAGTATTCCACTTGTTTTGTGAGTAAAATCAGATGAATAAATGAATGAGTGAGCAGATTTCTCTGCTCAGTCAGAGGGAATGCATTTTGTATTTTATTTGTTCCAGTGAAGTAGGAGATTAATAACTCTTTGCTGACTTCAGAGTCCCTGTTGTTTGTCCCCTGATTGAAAAATATTGTGAGCAGCCTACCAGTGTCAGGAATGTAATTGCAAAATTGAATGTTATAATCTATCCTCAAATGCCTAGACCCATTTTTCAGAATCCTTTCAACAAGAGAGCACCTGCTAAATGCTCACAACAGAGTGACAGTGCCTGTATGTGTGGGGTTCTATACAGAGGTGAAAACTTCTTCTGACAGATGAAGCTCATGCCTGTAAAATACCTCTCCTTTTAAAGCGAATCAATCAGTGCTTAGTGTTTGAACATCATTTATAAACTCAGCCTTATATGCCAACTATCTAAGACGTTTTTACTGTTGTTGTGGTTTGTTGTTGTTGTTGTTGTTGTTTGTTTGTTTGTTGCTTTTGCAGTACAGGGGATTGAACTGAGGGCCTCATGCATGCAAAGCACAAACTCTACTATAGCTGAACTACATGCCAAAGCCCACCTAAGACCTTTTAATACAATAATTATTTTAGCATTCAGTTTTTTCTTGATTTATAAATTACTTTTAATCCTCTAATCCAATGAGTAATGCATATGATCCACAAAGAATGATTGTTTGGAGCTATAGTTTTTACTGGAGAATAATCTATGATAATTAAATTTGTATCATCAATAGGACATTGCAAGTAGAAGTGTATACATTTTTGAACAACCATGTAAAGGACCTATACCAGCAAACTGTGGACATCTGTCCAGCAACTGCACCCTGGACACATGTCAAACATACCCACTGAAATCACCCAGCCCTCTTCTCTCTTAAGCAAGTTAACCACCCTCCCCAGCACACTGATTTCACAGCCCCTAAGACTCACCTCCCATCAATGGGTTTGAAAGTAGCCTAGTATCAGGATAGCCTCCTGGCCCCAAGGGCTTACTGCCATTCTTGCCCCCTTGTTCACCAGCCATGGGGCTCTCCTGGTCCACGTTCCACTTCAGTTGCTCAGGAAAGTCCAAATTCCAGGCTCCTCGTGCTCCTGGGAAATTCCAGTTCTGTGGCTGGTTGGTCAGACTGTCTGCAACAGAGAACAGTACAAGCAGGGTAATGTGAGTACTACCTGTGGTCAGAGAGAAATGCACGAGTGCACACACACACACCATACCACCTAGCTGGCTGGAGTCTGGCCAAAGCCTACAACAGCCCCCCAACCCTAAGTCTGCAAAAACTGCTGATGTCACGTCCTTTCCAAAACTGAGACCAATCACTGAAGAAGCCTTGGACTTTATCAGGAAGGAAACTCAGTTTGTAACTTTTGGAGAATGAAGGGAGTAGGGTGAGGGAGTGAAGGAAACAGCTCCCTTCCTGCAAAGTTGCTCACTGTGCTGAGATCTGTTTGCTACTTAGGGGCTTCTTGGTGTTGAGACAAGCTCCAGCACCCAAGAGCTGAGAAAGCTAGTTTTGCAGCAGCCCTGTGAATTGCTTGCACGGTAATATGCACAGCACGCCCTGGCCATCTGCACATGTGGTTTCAATTTTGCTGGGAGTGTCTTATGGAAAAATGTGTCTATATGTTACAAAAATGCAGGATTTGGAAAGAGCTTCTGTTTTCTTCCTTTCAGCTGCAAGAACTTCATTAAATGTCCTATTTCACCCTTCCTCCACACATTTTAACTTCTAGATAAACAATGAAAATTTTCCATTGGAATAATGGATTCCTGGGTGGCATGAGGTGTGGAAGAGACCCTCCATCTTTCAATGGTTAATTATAAAAATATTATTTTGTTAAGATTTTATCAATTTACCTATACAAAATACATGAACTTTCTGTGTATGTGACTTTTCAATTTCCATTTTCTACCACACCCTTGGGTGATGGTTCAGGCTGATGGCCACTCCTAGATTCCTATCTTCCTCTCTTCCATGTGGAAGAGGATTTTTCATCCCAGTTGGGGAAAGCTTTGAGTTACTATCAAACATCCTCTTCTGTGAAATGATTGTAGACTTGTTTTAATTCCAAAAATGAAGACTTACTGTTTTAGATATATGGATACACACACATACACACACACACACACACACACACACACACACACACACACACACACAAGAGGAGTCCAGTTGAAACATTTGGTAAACATCATGAATAGTTTGAAGCACATCCTCCATGCACTTCTGTGCATGTATAGATATATATCCTATGCATCTACACACGCAGATCTATCCCTTCACATTTGCACTTAAAATTATATTATTATACTGTTTTATGCTTTTCACACTTATTTTGTCTGGTAAATATTTACATTTCAGTTTATATAGCTATGTTCCTTTCTTTATTCACTACTGCATTCCATATTGTGCCAAAAATATTTATTTATTCTCCTAGCAAAGCAAGCAGAATGTTACCATTTCTTTTACTCCTACAAAAATAACTGCAGTTCATATTTTTGTACACATCTCTTTGTGCACACATGCAATCGGAGAGATTCCCAAGAGTGAAAATACTAAGTCAAAGGTGTGCTCATACACATGGGGAAAATTATATAGAACTATAGGCACATGTACACACACACACACACACACACAGAGGAATGAGCACAAGTAAAACTGGGGAATTCTGAAAAAGATCAGTAGATTATATGAATGCTTATTACTGATTCTGACATTGTACTGTAATTTTGCAAAAAGTTACCATTGGGGCAAAGTGATCTAAGTGTACAAGGAGAGCTCCTCTATATTATTTCTTAGAACTGCCTGTGAATCTATAATTAGCTCAATACCAATTTTAATTGTTTTTTAAAAAGCTGCTCACATAAAATTGGGATAAACACTGCCAAATTGCCCTCCATTTCTATTTGCAGAATTAAGTGAGAAGGCCATAAACATACAAATTCCTCAGTACTCTATCTGGAAAGATTGAAGAATTATAAACTTAAACTTGTATTTGGCAAAGAGTGAGAATATTACTCCCAGCATAGACCAGTTGAGAAGTTAAACAGAGGAGCATAGAGAGGAAGCTGGATACTATCACCATTTTTTCCTAATAAAATCTTCACAGTTCAGCTTCTTTATTTACCTTTAATTAAATTCCAAGGAGATAAGTTTTCCCATATTCAAATTTAAGTTCCAAAATGACAATAGAGAAAATTTCCAGGTTGTTGCCCTAGTACCTGGGAGGGAATTCACCAGCTTTTAAAGTTTTCATTACATTTATAATGTTGATCACCATAGTGAATAGGAGGATGGAAACACTTTTTTTAACCATTTAAACATAGTTATAAGAGGAGTCCATGCATTTTTAAGCATTAATATAGGATAAAATATATAAGCTGTGATTATAAGGTGGTTTACCACAAACCATAAGAGAATGGCAATCTTACTAATTTCTAGTTGGCCCTTATGCTTGTCAGTGTGGGTCTGAATGTTCAGTGAAATTCATGCAGGTTGGGAAAGGGAAAAGAATGAGAGACTGCAGAAGACAGTAAGGCCACAATCATTCCTTAACAGGAGCAGTGTTCACATGAGCCAGTACCTCTTTCCCACCCTCACTTAGCTATCCAAGGTACACGTCACTCACAGATTACAACTTCCTCCCTCCCACAGCCTTGGGGAACCTTGAAAGTCACTTCCAATGAGTTCAAGTTGATCCAGCTGGCAATTTTTCTAGGACAAACCCTTCAAAACTTACACATCTTCTCTGATAACTTGGAACTCTCTGCTTCTCAGGCAAAACTCCTATTTATTTCCACTGTTCTTGCAAAACTGCCTGTGCATGCTCAGTATCTGATGCTGCTTTCACTCCCAGGAACAGTACAGTGAAATTCAAACAAAGAAGTGTTTTTTTAAAAAAGAAAAAAAAATCTGTAATAATGTGATGTTCTTGAGGAAACAAACAGGGAAATTAAAAAGGAGAGAGTCTACATAATGATGGGACTGGGCTCTACAAAAATGTCAACAGTGGGAAAGTCAAAAGTGGGGTAGAGGGGTTGGGGTTGTGGCTCAGTGGTAGCGCACTTGCCTGGCATGTGTGAGGTGCTGGGTTCGATTCTCAGCAACACATATAAATAAATAAATAAACGTATTGTGTCCATCTACAATTAAATAAAATATATTTTTAAAAAGTGGGGAGGGGAAAGCTTTATAGATTACAGGATAATAAGGAGATTTGAGAACTCAAATCAATGGATGATGCTTGATCTGACCCTTGACCAGATCCTGATGGTGGCAAGAGACAGAAAGGACATGAATGACACAGTTGTGGAAGTGTACAGACAGATGGATGTTGGATAGCTGTGGGGCACTAGATAATCACCACACAGTGGTTCTGTGGAAGAATCTCTGAACATGCTCTTAGAAGATGAACAATAAAATACTTGGTGCAGAGAGCCATAATGGATTATGAGGCCAAGGGGAAATGGATCCCTGTTCACACATTCTGCACCAGATAGAAAAAGTCAATGCAAGTTCTGTAGTTGAAACAAATGAGTAGGGCTGGGGCTGTAGTTCACAGCAGAGCACTTGCCTAGCATGTGTGAGGCACTGGGTTCAATCCTTAGCACCACATAAAAATAAACAAATAAAATAAAGGCATTCTGTCCAGCTACGACTACAAAAAAAATTTTTTAACACATGAGTAGATACAAAACATGGAGTACTCAATCTGTTTGCATGCCATTGTCATTCCTAATGAACTCAAAGGCCACATATCCCAGAAACATGGGAAACTTCCCATTGCACAACAATGCAGGGTCATAAAACAAACAACACTCTGTCTGTATTAAAAATTTCGATATCTTGGTTATTGTATGCTTTTTGCCTTAAGAAAATACTTACCTTGAATGCCCTTCAATAGATGAATAAATTAAAAATGTGGCACATACACACAATGGAATATTATTCAGCAATAAAAGAGAATAAAATCATGGCATTTTCAGGTAAATGGATGCAGTTGGAGAAGATAATGCTAAGTAAAGTTAGCCAATCCCCCCCAAAAAAAACATTAGAAATAAATGTTTTCTCTGATATAAGGTGACTGATTCATAGTGGGGTAAGGAGAGGGAGCATGGGAGGAATAGATGAACTCTAGATAGGGCAGAGAGGTGGGAGGGAAAGGGAGGAGGCAGGGGATTAGCAAGGATCGTGGAATGTGATGGACATCATTATCCAAAGTACATGTATGAAGACTCAAAATGGTTTGAACCTACTTTATATACAAACAAAGATATGAAAAAAATATGTTCTATATGTGTAATAAGAATTGTGATGCATTCCACTGTCTTGTAATTAAAAAATAAAAGCGATTAAAAGAAAAAAGGAAAAGAAAATATTTACCTTGCCTGCTAAAATGTTTGGCCTCATTCACTTCTTCTTGATCCTAGTCCTGGTGAAGAATCATGATGCCTGAAACTTACAAATAGTTCACTTAAACACATATGCATATGTATTGATTATATACAGGTTCACAATATATATGTACATATAAATAGATGCATGTAGCCAGGCACAATGGTGCACTCTTGTAATCCCAGCGGCTTGGAAGACTGAGGCAGGAGGATCATGAGTTCAAAGCCAACCTCAGCAACAGTGAGGTGCTAAGCAACTCAGCGAGACTCTGTCTCAAAATAAAATTCAAAATAGGGCTGGGGATGTGGCTCAGTGGTCGAGTGCCCCTGATTTCCATCTTCAGTATCCCCCCCAAAAAAATAGATGCATATGCACTTGTATATACACATATATATATGTATATGTGTGTGTGAATGCATACATGAATACATCAAGAGAGAAGCAAACGTGACTAAATGATGGATGCAAAGGTATTCATTGTGCTATTGCAATTTTTCTGTAAACTGAAAGCTTTTCAAGATGTAACAATGATAAGGGAAGAAAAATTAGTAAGTGGAAATTAAAACCAGATATAAGTTTTATACATGTTAAGATAGGAAACTGTAATTCCCAGTGCACCCCATGTATTTATTCTGGTACAGATTCTGCTAAGAGAAAGAGATGATATATTCCCATATGCAAATGGAAAACACCCATGTAAGAGCAGGCCTTGGCAGAATTTGTGATGGGAGAAAATGTGAGGTCTGCCAGTGCAGACACCCTCCTCCCCTGATAAACTGTAGTTGCTCAGCGATTCATCCCTCACCATGGCAGCTCTGGGCCATGTCTCTGAAGCGTCAGCTATTCTCTTTGTGTTTAGTGCACAAATCTTCTGAGCAATCAACATTGTTACTGAAAAAAGAGTCATCCACAAATTTCATGTTTATTTGACATGGCAGTGTTAGAAATATTAAGGAGGAAAATTACTTTTGGAGAAATAATTCTTTAATAAAATGAACAAAAAATTAGTAATGCTGAATGACATGCCCAAACATTTAAATGATTTAAGGGATTTTGAAAGCATCGAGGTTAAAATTTTCAGGTGATACAATCAAGCTTATTTCTTTAAAATAATGAGTCAAGACAGACAGTAGATTGAAAAGTGATAGAGACAGATGGTATATAGACAGACATACTGGAGATATATATACATACATACATATGGAGGGTGCATGTCTATCTACATATATAGAGAGGGGAAAGTTTATAGATAAATAATATTGGATATCTACTTGGTTATGGAAGGATTTTCCCCCTAAAATTATTTATTGTATACATATTTTAAATTTTATTAAACTAGACAAAGGAGAATAAAGGGAAGGGAAGGGGAATGAGAAAAGGAAAGACAGTGAAATGAATCTGACATAACTTTCCTAGGTACATATATGAAGATACCACAGTGAATCTCACCATCATGTACATCCTCAAGAAATTAATTTAAAAAAGAAACTATGGGTAAATGGCAGAAAGATCAATAGAGAGAAGGAAGCAGGGAGTGAGGAAATGAAAGGGGGAGGAGAGGTACTGGGATCTGAATTAGAATAAGATAAATTCCATGCTAGCATAATTACATTAAAATGGATTCTACTGTCATTATATAACTAAAAAGAACCAATAAAATAAATATTTGAAATAGTTTTTCAGTATATAAATCCCACTTCTAGAAATCTCCTAAGAAATCCTTCAATCATTTTTAAAGACTTCTTTTAAAATAAAAGTTATGACACTGTTATCTATAAAAGAAAGAAATTAGAAATAATCTAGGTATCTAACAAGTTGAAAAATGTTAAGAAATATAATACAACAATTTAAAAGGATGGTATCAAAGGGTCTGAGACTTTAAATATCATTATACTAAGGTTTGTAAGAAAAGTACTATCACATCATTTGATAAGATACCAACATTAAATCAAGCAAAGAAATAAAAGTCACATGGTGTACAGTAGTCCCCTTATCCATAATTTCACTCTCCATAGTTTCAGTTACCCTGAACCAATCATAGTCTAAAAATATTAAGTGAAAAATTCCAGAAATAAATAATTCATAAATTTTAAATTACCATTTGGAGTAGCCTGATGAAGCCTTGTTCCATCCTGCTTTGTCCTGCCCACATCATGAATCATCAGATTGTCCAGTGTATCCAAACTATACCCAACACTCCGCCATTTCATCCCTGTCAATCACTTTTGTAGTCATTCTGAGTCTCAGATCAACTGTGGCAGTATCAAGGGCTGTGCTCAGGTAACCCTTACACAGTAGCTTAACACCATGTCACAATGCCTCCTACATCAGCCCCCTCACTTCATCTCATCACCCAGGCATTGTATCATCTCACATCACCACCAGGAAGGGGTGAGTTTAGTACAATAGGATTCTTTGAGAAAGAGAAGGTCTACATTTACATAATTTTATTATAATATATTCTTATAATTGTTCTATTTTACTATCATTACTGTTGATCTCCTATTGTACCTAATTTATAAATTAAATTTTATCATACATATGTATAACCTGCATGTGTATAGGAAAAGACAGTATATATTGTATGTGGTGCTATCCATGGTTTGAATATCGACTGGAGGACTTAGAATATTTTACCTGCAGACAAGAGGGGACTACTGTACTAAAAATGCACTGAAAAAAAGTCACTAAAGTCTTAAGAGTAAAAATTGACTAATAGATATTATACACATTGTGACCTGATGTTGTATATTTACATATTGTTTATTCCTTGTTGTCTCCCTAATGCATAAGTGTTTCAAGGATAACCATCTTGTCTTTCACACTCTTCTACAACATATAGCACATAATAGATGCTGGGTAAAATGTGTTGAACAAATTGAGAATTTACCCTGGAGTACTTTGAATATGAATCTTAGTGTACTTCATGTATGACTGAAAATGTAAATATA